TAAAATTCTATTTTAATTTTGATTTTATTTTTATTATTCATTTACTTTTTTCTAATTTATTGTATTGAATATTTCTAGAGAATTGTATAACAATTATATTTATTATCAGCGACAATCGGCTAATCCCGTTGTGTTCCACATTAGAGAGATCATGATCGATGATAAGCGGTAAACGGAAATCGCGATACACACACGCGACCAACACCCTGCTGATTCAATCATGTAATGTATTTAATTATGTGTACACGTTTCAATTAAGAGGCTGATACGGCTTTTAATCGATTCATGGACACTACTGGTGTGTACTGTACCGCAGTCTCTAACTGTTATTGAATCATTTGGTCCATTAGATCGTCACCAAGCACACGTTTATTTAAATGACCGAATAATATTATCTTCAGTCTAAATTTCCCTTCAAATCTCCTAAATGTGACGATTTAATATGTCAATTGTCTCTATACTTCATTACCGTTCATTTACGTTTCATGTTAATTCAAGTTGCTAGAGACTCAAGTAAAAGTTTTGTATTTTATTTTTTTTTTTTTTTCTAAATGAATTTTCAGATATTTGGAGCTGCAGAGCAGCGGTCGTAAAGACGAGCTTCGACTTCACTACGTATCGCGTCGGGATGGTAGCGTCCACGTAGAGGCGTTTCCTTTCCGATTGGCCGATGGCGCCTGGCACAGGGTCGCCCTGAGCGTAAGCGGCTCGCAGGTCGAGCTGCTCGTCGACTGTCATCCCTTGTACAGGCGGCTGCTTAGGCCTGGACCACCTGACACCAATTTCACTCTGCCACAGCTACAGCTTTGGGTTGGACAGAGAAACGTCAGGCACTTTCTCTTCAAGGTACATACGACCTCTCCTCTTCATCATCCTCATTACCCAATTTCTTTTATCGCACCGTCATCTAGTGTCTTCCACTGTCAGTCATCCAGTGTCATCTAGTGTCTTCCACTGTCAGTTATCTAGTTTCATTCTTTCTCATCCTCTGTCATCCTCTCTTATCGACTGTCAGTCATTCAGTGTCATCTAGTGTCTTCCACTGTCAGTCATCCAATATCATCACAGACGACGTACAGGATAGACCTAGCATCACAGACGAGGTACAGAATAGACCTTGCCCCTAATGTGTTTTTGTGTCCAACGTTCTGAAATACCGATCGTGTAAAAATTCAGAGTTTTTGTTATGCCCTCTACGATATAAAGTGATGAGTTTAGGAATTACACACAATCCAACTATCAAAGGTGGTAAAGTCGACAGATGTAAAAAATCCTCTTTTATTAAATTTGTATATAAAGATACATACATGTATCGGATTGCGTGGGTAGAATTGTTCACGATCTTCTGACAGCAGTAGAACACGCGCATGTAACGAATCATTTACTAATAAACGTTACTTTCTTATTTGTAATTTCATAGTTACGTTTAATTCCATTCGCAACCACTACTAATGTTGCAATCTTGTTTTATACTGAATCGGTAACGTTGGTAGCGACATGAAAATGGTAAGGGTTTTCTCGGCCCCAAAGTCCCATAAAATGTTCGGTCTATCCTGTACGTCGTCTATGCACAGACGAGATGTAGGGTAGACCAATCATCTTATGGGACTTTTTGTCACACGATCTGAAATACCGACGTCGTTCGAAACTACTGGTTTTGAAGCGCATTCTACGCTTAAGAACGGTCATTTTAAGAACTGCATCACGTAAAACGATTTATATTGGTCAGGAAGTAAATCATGAAAGATAGCGCCCAAGACAAAATTGTGTGTGTACATTGTTACTGTGTTGTCAATACACCCTTGGATCTCGAAACGTAAATGTGTGTGATTAAATCCATTTTTATTCATCCTAAGATTCGAAATTTTGTCTTCATCATTATTTAAAATAACAAATGACAAGTGTTCTTGATTTCATGTGACAAAAAAATACATTGGATGAGTGGTCTACTCCATATCTTGTCTGTATCACTAGATCAACACTCGTTATCCACGGTAATCCAGTGCCATCTAGTGTTATCCACTGTAATCCATTGAGATCGGGTGTTGTCCATTGTTATCCATTATGAACCATCGAACGTTTAATTATAAAAAAAGGCAAATTTGTTACAGTAAGTTTTTAATTTTATGAGCTATAAGTAAATATTGCTTTATTTTGTCACACCGAATGGAAAATTTCAATCGGCTGAGATAAGTTCGTACGATTGTCGCGCCACAGGGTGCTTTGCAGGATGTGAAGCTGATACCAGGGCCCCATGGCTACCTTTCCCAGTGTCCCCAGCTCGACTCGTCCTGTCCCACTTGCGGTGAATATTCCATATTACAAAATACGGTGGAACAGCTGAAGCATTACGTCAAAGATCTGACACGTAGGGTGAGTACAAAAAACAATTGTCTTATAAAAATTCCCTAGAGATTCTGTTTTAATAATTTTGCAAAGAAAACAGAGTCCCTATATAAATCCAGTATTCGCTCATTGACGTCCTTCCTTTTAGCTAGCCACTGCAGAGGGCAAGATAAGCAAAGTGGAGGAGTGCGAGTGCCAAAAGTCATGCAGGGCGAACGGCACCGTCCACGAGGACGGCGCGACCTGGGAGAAGGGCTGTCAACAGTGTTCTTGCGTCCACGGGGAGATAGAATGCAGGCCAACACCCTGTGCTCCTGTCACCTGCAAGAATCCTGTCATTCCTCCAGGACAATGCTGTCCTATCTGCTTAAGTAAGTATTCCAAATCTCCAATATCTCAATTAAAATTATAATTAAAATTCTATGTCTATACAATTATCCATTAAAATTTCTAAAATCATTCTGACTCAGCTTTCAAAGTATTTCCAATATTCTCTCTGTGACTAACATTGTAAGTGATCCTTAAATTAGCCTAGAATCTAGATAGACAATTTTTGCTGAAATAGTATTTGTTTTTCTTCTTGCAAATTGCAATTTCTTTTTCGTAGTAATATACCAGGTGATACACATAAAATCAGTCCCAAACGCAAAATACAGTTTTAAAGTTATATTTCGTATTTCCCGCTGGAGACTTGTTGACACTGTTACACATGCGCATATGAGTTCTGAAGTGTATAGTCGGTAGAAGCGATATAACGTTGGAGGGGACGACTGTAAACAAGTTTTTGACCAACCGTCGGTAATGTCACGAGGCTGTTCATGAAAGAATAAGTGATTGGCTGATTAGCAGCGAGGACCTCCATCTCCGACTTTCTAACCCTTACTCCTCCTTCCTAGGAGCTCCTGCTCCACTTTTGCTTGGTCAAGCTATACTTTGAGAGGTATACTAGAAATACTTTGGTATACTGAGGTATACTTTGAGAGCTATACCGATTAGAGATAGACCGATTTTACGTATTTACCATATTTATTCCACCAACTGTACAGTACATTATTACCGAATAAAACTGAAAAAAAAAAACTGTGTTTTGCGTTTGGGTCCGGTATTATGTGCGCCACCCGGTGTAACATCGTGGTGATCAATCAATTGAATCTCCAGAGCAATGTTATTTGCGCGGAGTGATTTACGATCACGGTGAAAAAGTCTCGCCGAAACAGTGCGTCGAATGCGACTGTTTCGACGGCAGCTTCACGTGCCAGAGGTTCGACACCGAGACAAGATGTCCGCCACTGCCTTGTCCACCGAGCGAGCAAATCAGCGTCGCCGAGGAATGCTGCAAATTCTGTCCAGGTACGTTTATACAGACGAGCATATTTCATATCGCTGAATATTTCATGCTACTAGTCACAATGATCAACGTTCTTCGATGCTTATGACAATTCACGATCATCAAGTCGACGTTGAACAACCATAGTTCCTGCTTATCGGACAATAATATCGCTTGATATGAAAAATTCGATCACATTCGTTCATGTTTACTATTTCAATATTTTAACGAAAAACATTCACGGTATCTCGCTTTGATTTGTGTGGTTCTCGATTAACCTATACGTTGTACTATTCTTGGCTAAAGTATCGACGGTGTAAATTGGAATTATAACACAATTAACATTAGAAGAATTCAATCATTTTCCTTTCCTTTAAATATACTTCAAATACAGAAGTCTAAATTTTGTCAAGAGTTGTAGTACTCACAGCTACAACTGAACCTGCATTTATCACTAAAATTTGTCAAATATTAAGCATGCCGTTCCATAATACTATCATTGTTTCATTAAAAAAAAAATCCCTAGACTAGATTCCCCCATTTGTTCACCATTTTGAGTCCAAAAAGCACGTCAAATGGCATGCCAGCAAATCTAAAGCAAAAGGAAAGCGACTACCAACTGTCTGACATCCAAAATGCCATTAAAAATTAAAACTGACTAAAAATTACTAATCGAATGTTCTAACTGTCTCTGCATCCGTCTGGCTAACACAATTTAACCAGGGGTGGACTACTGCGCGAAGGGCCACAAGTGTCACTCTAACGCGTCCTGCCTGAACCTGCAGACAACGTACGCCTGCCACTGCGATATCGGTTTCCAAGGGGACGGTCATAACTGTCACGGTACCTAATGCTTCTCTAACTTTCCTCTGTCTGTCTCTGTCTAACCAGTCGTCGTTCGATCGAATCCGCCATGTTACTGGGTCGATCGAGACGTCTCCCGGCAATCGATTCCTCCTCTGGTGTGAAATATGCAGAGGATCAATGTTGTTGGCACACGTAGAGAAACGTGACAAACGTTTATGCTCGTTTGATTATGTCGATGCTCGTGTCGAGGAGTTGGATCGTTGACGATTGCGGTTACTGAATTGCGGTAATGTTCTCTCACGACATTCTGATCGATATCGAACTGTTGTTTGTGTGTTTTACAATTTGTAGTCATGGAATGTTAAATGAATCTTAAAAAAAATATTATGTTGGTGATCACTCAAGTTTCCGCAATTCCGTAATTTAATGTACAGGTGGTTTTATTTACATTCACCTTGAATTATTGTTACAATTTTTTTAAACTGAATTTGAAAATGAATTTTTTTTTATCTTCGAGTAACCTTGAAGGTTATGAAACTTTTTTTATGTGGTAGATTCAATCTTCGATTATCAAGCATTTTTTGAGATTATGAAAATCCTTTTTGGTTATGTAGACTGTACTTTTGATCCTCGATATAACCTCAAATGAAATCCAATTCTTCAATTTCACGAATAGTTTGGGAACATACTTTGTTTGAGGTTATAATATTGGGAAAAATTGATTGGAAATGACTGGATGAATTCATTGGCACCACAGACGTCGACGAGTGTAAGCAGCAAGGTGGCTCCGAGGGCCACCATTGCAACGCGAACACCAAGTGCGTGAACGTGGTCGGCTCCTACACGTGCGAGTGTCTTCCGGGTTACCATAGAGTGGACAAATTCAACTGTGCCGAGTTAGACGAGTGTGCAACCGGGCATCATGCGTGCGACGAGCACGCCACCTGCGTGAACACTGCGGGAAGCTACTATTGTATTTGCAAGGATGGCTACACTGGCGACGGTTACACCTGCAAACGTATGTTCGACCCATAGCCCTATTTTTTACCTTACCACCCCATCACTTGAATGTCAAAACATTTATAAAAAGACAAATGTTGAATTAAATGTAATTCCAGAAACATTTTCTCTTATATTGTTTCACCCTCCAATGTTTGAATACCTGTCGTTACTCTAAGTGTATCTTCCTCGTCCCCTTCAGCTGTCTGTAATCAGACCTGTCAAAATGGCGGCGAGTGCGTGGCACCAGGAAGGTGTTCCTGCAGACGTGGTTACATTGGTAACAGCTGCGAGCTCGATTTGGACGAGTGTGCGAGCGATCTTCACCGATGTCACCAGTCGTCGACCTGTTTCAACATGCCTGGTTGGTACTACTGTCGTTGTAAGCCAGGCTACAGGAGCGCCCTCCACGACAGCACTCAGGGCACACAGTGTCTCGATATCGACGAGTGCAACGACCAAACGATCGAAAGGAGGCATACCTGTCATCCTAGCGCCAAGTGTGTCAACACTGATGGTGGTTACGAATGCGTTTGTCCCCCTCATGAGGATAATCACACCATGGTGGAGTGTCGACTGAGTAAGTGTACATTTCCATGGAATTGTCTAGGGATGTTTCATAGGTGAGAAGCTCTAACGATGACAATTGGAAAAATATCTTGCGTATAGGTTGTTGGTTTGAGAGTCGAGAAGTGAGAAATGGAGATACCTTGGCGCCAGCCGGGAATCCCTGCAGAAGATGCACATGCAAAGATGGTGTAGTTACTTGCAGAGATCCCATCTGCGACTGCAGCGCTCCTGGAAGTCACAGGGACAAATGCTGTCCTCAGTGCGATCCTGCTGCCTCCTGTAGGCATCAGGAACTTCATCACCTAGTCTTCAGAAGTGGCGAACGGTGGATATACCAGTGTCAGACTTGCGAATGCCTGGTAATTGAACTAACCTCAGAAAATAGCGTAACTTAACCTAACTTTTCTAAACAACTCTTGCTATTTCGGTTCGTGTTAAAAATTATTTGATCAGCCAGAATGTTGATAAACACAGTTTACGGACATTTTTCACAAAATCCTCTTCGAAATTTGTACAGTATGGCGAAATAGACTGCTGGCAGATGGAATGTCCACCGGTGACCTGCTCGAATCCAGTGACGGAGGACGGGGATTGTTGTCCCCGTTGCGAGGACGATCCTTGCGCGAGAGAACTGCCAGGGAATGGCGCCTCCCTCTCGGTGCTGACCAGACCGCGGCCTTGTAGCTATTCTGGGATCATCCATGATAGTGGCAGCTCCTGGCAGGACCCCCATGACAAGTGCACCACGTGCGAGTGCAAGGTAAGGAGGACGTCCGGCCTCGGTCACGTCGGGGGACCGAAGAATCGTCGGTCCCGCAGGATACGGATAGGATAGGGGGGTTCGTGGGGGAAGGGAGGCGCGAATTATCACGGAGAAACTATGGTCTTGATGGTCAAGCATAAAATCGAAATTGTACAATTCATTTATATCAATTTTAGTATTATTTCATTTTCATTTCTCTTTATTTTGTACATCAACGAACAGAGTTATATAGTTGGTTGTGGAATAATATTTTTGAGTTATTCCGTCGATTCTATGAGGTTTATTTAGTGAAAGTGCAGATGGCAGTTCAGAGATAGCGTCACTAACTATTTTTGCATGTCAGCCATCTTGGCCAGACGTTTCTTCTAGTCGCTCTCTCTTTTCGCGCGAGATCAAGAGCTCAAGGTCAGTAAATGAAAAGAAACAGCAAATAAGTATCGCCTTCGTTTAGCCGTGGATCTGTCATGTGTCTAATCAGTTGCGTTCACTATGTTACGTCGAGGTGCGACCAGTTGCTATGCGGCAGGCGACCGTTCAATATTCATCGATGTGCATAATACACGTGGCGGATTAACATAACCTCTTTATTTATATTTTTCCATTTACTATTTCTATGTGCTTCAGTTGCAAGAGTATTCAAGCGCTGAATTAACGTCGCTTGTGTTTTGCATGGACAGCCAGTCGATGTGACTAATAATTCTAGAAATCAATTTGAATAATTGTAAATATATTTATTAAGAATTTTTAAGCCAACCAAAAGGTAATATTTCATTAATTTATTACTTAAGATGCGTAAGAAACATAGTTATGTTTAGAAAATTCCAAAGAAAAAGCGATGCTGTAAGCTTGACACGTTTTTATCTTTCTGAAGTTTGCTATCAGGTCCTAGACGTACGCTTATTATTTTTTAATCGTTGCAACAAGTCGTCCGCCACGTGTACGACGAAAGTCACAAACACTAGCGCATATATAAATATGAAATACTTGTGTTTTCTCTCGCTCTTTCTTTCTATCTATTTTTGTATCTCTCACTCACTTTCTCTCTCTGTCATTTGTTTATCACGTCAGTTGGTAACCCTCGTACAATACCAAGGTACCTACATACTGACTGCCATTTCTTTCCAGTATGCCATTTATTTTTTTGCGGTGTGTATAACGCGAATCAACTTTTTGCAAGGCTATTTGCGCTGAGACAATATTCTGATTTTCAATACGCTGAGAGAAAACTTAACGTTTGCATCTTTGTTCGAGTCTTTGAAGTGCAGACCAACAACATAACCTCACTTTTAACATTAATATAGTACAGACTTAGCTCAGATCCAGCTTAGTATAGACCTAACCAAAGTTTAACTAGGTTCCAAGTATAACTTAGCTCGAGCATAGCTTAGTTTCAACAGTTAGTCGAATTTAGGCCTATCTTGGAATTAGTCTGGACTTATGCTGGATTTAGAGTAGTGAAATTATGCCTGGAGCTAATTCTGTCTAACCTATATTTAACACAAAGCTAACCTAACCTAGTCTGTACGAAGGATTAAAAATACCTGTCTTCAAAGGCTCGACAATATTTTTTGAAGTGAAATTAATCATTTAGGGGGAAAAGTTCTCTCAGTGTGAGCTGCCATTGCGTCGTGCTAGTCTTGTTGTTATGCGACCAATCAGAAGCTGTATTCGCCACTTGTAAATTGTACTTCAATTCGATCTGTCTATTCTGGTAGTACCAGCGTACGAGACACGTTCAGGGGCGTCCCTAAGCTAGTCTAGAAATTATTGTGTAATTTTTTTCGTTGACTGCCTTGCACGCGGCAGTGTTCATTATTATTATTGTTATTATTACTATGTATCCAGTGATCAGAGTAACCATATACTATGCGTAACGTAGAAACGAGAGTCGTTATATTATTATTATTATTATCGCTGTTGTTGTTATTATTATTTTTGTAGTGATAATTCATTTATCAAACGTACAATTGTTCTTTTTTTTTTTGTTTTTATTTGACCCTCGCTCACTATATGGACCAGGTGCTAAATGGCTTGGACGAAAACGGTGTAGCTTTTGGGGATAAGTTTTCATTGGGCTCTAATGTTGGTATCTTGAATCTTATAAACATATTCGTAGTTTGACAATTCTACTTTTTTTTTTAAGGAAGCCTCAGCAAGTTTTGATAAATTTAAAAATTAATCGATGAAGAATGAATAATAATTTCTAAAATGAAAATAAAAGTCTTGATAATTCTTTCATCTAGTTTTTTTCGAATATTTGAAAAGCTCTGAGATTTAAGAAATCAATGCATTGAATTTGAAAAAAATAAAATAAAAAAATACGGGTAAATTGAACACTGCCGCAGAAAATGACGAAAAATACCGCGAAACTCTGATCAACTTTCACATGAAAAGAAAAAAAAAATTAATTTTTCTCAATGCTCAAAATTTAAAAAAAATAATTTTACTGCTTCGGGTCGGCCCTGCATGGATCGTGTTCAGTACATATTCGCCTGATGATTAATCGCGAGCGAATCCAACCTCAACAGCGATCGAGCGTGTAGCATGACCTTAACCTCGTCGATCCATTAAAATCCAATTTACTAAAAAGAATTTAAAAAGTAACGTTTTAATCTATACAATCGATCGATAATATCAATCATGCAAACGTGTAACGGAAAAATTACTGAAAGTGACCAGAGATGTCACTGTTGAATCGAATATGGCGTCTTTCCAACGATCGAAATAATTGATAAGTTATTCGAAGGAATTACAATGGATCGACTAGGATAAATGGGCTGATGTGTTGAGCAAAATCATTAACTAACTCAGAAAGAGTGATACGAATACTGTGTAAAAATCCCGCCATATTTACATTTAACAAACACATACACATTGCCCGTGAAACGACTAACCTGACTAGCCTAACGATGGGTATCCTTGCAGGTGCCGTACTGCGCCCAATTGGTGAGCAATAGCGCGTGTTGTGTGCATCGGTAATCACGTCACTTCTACCTCACCTATAATCTTCTCTACCTGCCTCTTCTTATACTTTTCTGTTTTGTTGTTGTTTCTTTTGTCACTTTAATGTCTTTTCTCTATTTCTATTAACTTGTGACAATGTTGAATCGTTTTTAAACTGTCCACGAGCTCGAATTGCTTTCGTTTCCTTCTGCCTGCTTTTTTTCTGATACTAGCACTTGGTAATTCTTCTTTTAACCACTACGCTTCTTTCTTCGTTTCAAACTATTTACCACCTTTTTATTTTTCTGTGTGTAACGTTCGTTTAGAGTCGACTATATACATATACTATAGAGTAATCTGCGTGTCCCTGGTTCGTTCGTTCGTTCGTAGAGGTCTCTTACGTTCGTTGATCGCCGCACGCTGGGTCACCAGGCTTGATATCTTAATGTTTTCTTGCATCTGGTTGGCCACACTGGTCGTTTATGCCACGCGTTCAATTATTTCGAATTTTTTTAAGTGTTCGATGATGATAACTGGGAAAGGATTATTCGAAACTTTTGTTATTTATTTGGTGATATTGTTATAGAAATTTTTTTGGTAGAATATCGATGGAAGTATTGAAATAGTTAGTACGAATGTTTCATACGGTTGAAGAAACACTTGAATATGTGATATCATTTACATGATATTTTAGAAAATATGTTTATGATTTCTTTAACAGCTAGTGGCATAGAGACTGGTGGCAACACTGCGTCAAGAAAATGTTAAATCCAAGGGTGAATCGCGAGCACGTCGCATGTTTCATACGTTGAATTAAAATTATAATTACTCTTGATCGACTTGAAAATGACTATTTCTTTTTACTAATTCATAGTTCATGATAATATTCATAGAAATACTTAAACACAGAAATTTTATTATATCACATGATTTTTAAAATAAATAATCCATTTTACCATTACTATCAGATTTAAAGTTTAATGTTAAAATATTTAAATAGGAAAAACTGAAGCATTAAAAGTTATCAATTGCTATATATAATTGAAGTACTGAAATTATAACTTCTGTAAAAAATACATTTTAATTAACATTTCTGTTTATACGAATACTAACTTTTTCGTCTATCAGTCGATCAAGAGACGATTCTTCACTCTACTACAATGGCCGAATGCACGTTTACAAAAGATTCGCATGTACAGACTCACCCCACGCTCTTTTATGACTAAACATGAACTCAATTAACATGTCACTTTATTCGAAAACGCACATTCGAGGATGCACTATCATTAAATAAACAAAATGAATAAAAAGTAAAGAAAGAACATAAAATTCGAATATCTCAAATATTTGGTATCGGTCGGGGCGCACGACGCACGTGGTGACAGACACACGCACACGTACACACACACACAGATTGCATTTTGATTAATTTTTGATCTCTTATTTTTTTATTATTATGGTTATTATTATTGTTATTATTATGGTTTCGTTACACTTGAGCCTCTTTTGCACCCTCCTCTGATCTGCATTCGAGATTCGATAGAAGCACCAAGAGTCTCTTTCTCTCTGTCTATCGAGTGTTGTCCAGCAACGATTCTGGCAAAAAATAAGAAGAAAAGAAACTTAAAATTATTCCTCTACCTAAAAAAATAAAAGCAATAAAAAAGTATTGATTGTCAATCAAGTGTTGAGGTTAGAATTCGAGATAAACATACTACAGGTTTTCCTAACCTATAACTTTTCATTACCTATAAAACTAATTCTTCTTAAAATGTACTAAGCTTGTGAAAACTATAAAATTTAATTATTTTGCTAGAATCGTAGCTGGAAGTAGTAACCTAGACACGTTGTCATCAAGGTGTCAAATACATACTATGGAAATTCATTGTTTTGTCCCCCGAATGTCAGAGCATGATTGTCATGAGTCGAGTTCTTGTAATTTGTGATCGTAAAAAACAAAAAACAAAACAAGAAGAAAAGGCATCGAACTGGGTGTTGGACAACAGCAAATGGGAAACGCAGATTTTCTCCACAACACGGGACGTCGTGTGCCGTTTCAACGAAACAATGAATTGCATACTATGTGGAGGATAACCTATGTGTCCCATTAGCGACGCGAAAAGTCTTGGATCAACGTTGTGAGTCGACCGGGGTGACTATGGCCTCCGTAACGATCCTCTTCATCGCGTGAATTTTTTTTCTCACATGCTTTTTCATGAAAAATTTATCAACGATTACGATCTAGCTTACAACTTTTCGACGTTCTTTACGTAGCTATGCACGTTCACAAGAACGCACCTTTTTGCTGTCGACACAAATTGAGAAATACCCTTTATAGTGAAATATCTGACAATGTGTTTTTTGTAGGTTAGTAATGATAATAAATCTAGAGATTCTAATTAAAATATTAAAACTACTTAAAGATTCAAGGTTTTATAAAGTATTAAAATAATTGATTTCAAAAGAGTAATTTTTTCTTTATTTAGTATATTTAGAATTATTATTTACAGTTTCACAAATTTGTGAGACACTTCACTGTCAAAATTCTGCAAAAGACACCTCACCGTTCAAAGCAAAGAAAAGAAGAAAAAATTGTAATTACACTGTCGTCACTAGACCCCGATCATAGTCGCCCGATTTGAATCTCCCGCTTTTGGTCATCGTCTCTACCGCACCGCGCACCTGTCAGATGGAGCACGCACGCGCGTACCAAGACTTTTCGCGCGCAAAAGGGGCAAGTAGCCGCGTTGAAATTTCGCGTTAAAATGTGAGATAAAAAAAAATACGGAGAGGGCGAAAGTCAGGCGAACACGACAACATAAAACGTCGCTTGGTCTTGTTCGTTTCGCCGTCGGCTAACCCAGTATCCAACGAACCTCTCCGTAGGACGGGCAGCTATGCTGCAGCTACGATTACGGCTGCGCTGGCGATCTGGGCAGCAACGAGCAGCAGCAACGTCCTCCAGTCGTTGTTCCTGAGCCTGTCGTACGCGGTCTACCGAGCCCTGCGGGGTCACCGATGGCTGACAGTGCATCGGAAGCAGCTCTATCAGCGGTTACCGCTTCCAGTTCCACTGGTGCAACACCAATCACCAGTGCCTACCTCTTGTCAGCTTCGTCTTCTTCCTCGTCCGTTAGCAACGTCGCCAGTAGCAGCAGCAGTGGGTCCACAGGCAGAAAGGATCACTGGACACTGCAGAACGGCTTGTCAAAATCATCCCAGCAACAGAGGGACGACCGCCGTGTTAGAACGCAAACACAGCAACCTGTCCCGACAGCCAGGTATCATCAGCTATCCATTGGAGCAGCGACGACGCCGTCGTCGACGCCTGAACGCGTTACACCTGCGTCGACGTCGTCGTCGACGACGACGACCAAGGCTCCGGTTAAGCACGAGACCAAACAGCCACAATCGTCCGCGTCGCGACGTCAACGCGTCAAGGTGTCCAACAGTAACGGTCTCGCGAGTCATCGTAGCAACGTGTCCTATTCCTCCATCTCCTCCCTTTCCTCTTCTTCATCTTCGACGCCATTGGCGATGCTGGTGTCATCTGGCGCGAACCAAGAAACCGACAGCGTCTCAACTAGTAGCGTCGCCAGTGAGACAGTGGTTTCAGCGAACGCTTATCGACAGCCGGCGTCCACCGGTGGTCGGCATAGGCGCAGCAATGACGCTGGAGAATCCGTGGCACGCGATAGTGGCGCCACCTGAGGCTGACGCTTCCGTGGACAGCTAGAAGAGACAGAAATGAACACTGGCAACGCATTCCAGGGGGTGTAGCAATGGGAACTGAGCCGTAGCCCTACGTAGGAGCGAGCGGAGAAGCCGTTCTCCAATGGTCACCTATGATCATCAGATTCAACGGTGTCGTCGGGGGAAGCGAGTGCAGTGAACCGGGGCAAGAGGAACGCGAGCAACACAAGGTGAAGTAAACGAGCATCATAGAGAAATACCGTCTAGACAACGATTACGCCAGCATTCGGGTGGAAGAGTAACAGTTTCGAGCGGAAGACATTCGTCGTTTTCCTCGACGAGACCGACCTCCTCGTCCAGCTCCTGCGTGTCGTTGGATCATCGATCTAGGGACATGTCTCTCGTTGTATATGGCTGTTTAACTAACCAACGGCCGCGCGAGGGACTATTCGACTCACGAAGCTCTGAATCTATAAGTGTAGGTTCGTTAAGCTCGGCGTGTGTATAACGATCACAATAACCGGTCGCGAGGAGAGTTAGGTGTGCCAAAAACACGAGCCTGCCAACACCACGGCGTGTGAAGTAATATAATCTGTGACAAGCTGCGATCTCGACGTGTTCATCTTCGTCGATCAACATTCACAGAGCGTTTTCTATTCCTCGAATTATACGGCGCTGGGTCAAGCATATAACACGCTGGTGAGAGAGAATCGAGAAACTGAGCCCGTGACGCGTCCCCACACGCGCGTGGTGTCCTCTGGGGGGCGTTCTCTGAACGAGCAGCACCGATTCATACATACACAGTCACGTACACGCTTTCGCGATTCCTTTTTTTGTCGTGTATATCTCCATGTTGAACAGGTAGCGCACAATATTTGGGCCTTATAACAGTTATAAACGGAGGAAACGTAAAAAAAAAAGGAGAGAAACAGAATAAATAAATAAAATAACGAGTCTTCTCGTCGTTCGTCGTTTCGCCACACGGTTGGGGGGGGAGGGGGGGAGCCTCTAAGTCGTGTAATTCGAATCCCCGGTTCTCACGGCGAGACGAGAGAGAGAAAAAAATAATAATGTATGATAGGAACTAGTAATTTATCGTAAGGAATTGAATCTATCCCAACGAGAAGGACAAAGAGGAGGAAGAAGAAGAAGAAAAAGAAGAAAAGGGAGAAGAAAAGAAACGTTTGACGAGTCTATTTATCGAGTGACACGAATCGAGAAAGATCGATCTTTGTCGATTATATTATTATTAAAAAAAAAGGAAAAAAAATAGTACACGCATATTCATACACGTACACGTAAACACGAACGAAAAGAGAAAAAGGTTATTCTATGATGGATGATGAATCATATCTCGTGACAATATAGGTAAACGCGCGATATATACCGGGTGGCCATAATGCGATCACGCGGTCAACTATAGAGAGCTCGTGTTTCTTGGCGAAAAAGATTGAGAAAAGAAAGGAAAATAATAATAATAATAATAATAAGGTGGATAAAAAATCGTATAGTCTTTACGCTTGGAAGAAAAAAAAACGTTAACGTTTAAGGATCATCGTTATGTATTAGGGTAACAGAGATTCCGATTCTCGTGGAGACCTCGAGAGAGAGAGATAGCGAAGCGTCCTTATTTTTTTTCTAGGCAGCCGTTTTATAGGCCGGTTCAGTTTCTCTGGTTCTGGAACGCTGACTGGTTTATGCCTGATCCACATGTGTCGAATCATCGAGCACGCAACCTGTGTCTCCGAAGATTCATCGGCCCTTGGACTCTCTTTGCACGGTGGAAATTAGGCGTGTTCATTAGAAATTTTATCTATCGAAACAGAAAATTAGTTGGAACAATTTTTCGATTCTCTGGTGTTATTCGACAGTTTCAGACTACTTTAACTGCGAGACAAGATTGTCAAGTAAGTAAAAAATTATTTAGGTTAGATTTCCAGTGGAGCCAACTGAAATTCAGAATACTAATTGGAGGTTATATTACTTCCACTTTCGTTTATGAACAGTTTGATTGGTTAGAGATGAACTTCATTCATGTAAGTACGAATGTATTTATTTTAATGATGAAAAGTATATAGCTCTGGAATTTGTTTCATGTACATTGGGATATAGTGATCTTGTCGCACACTGTACATATAATTTTTTTGGCATTTTTGGTTCTAGAACTATGTATTAGAAATTTGTAAAAAGATGTGCAATGGTACCACGTTAGATGAAAGATCCTTTTTTATTGAGGTTAGTATGAAAGACACGCCCAATTTTTCACTGGTGCAATTAAGTCTCCTGTTCAATTATTGGTTGTACACCGGACGATGAACGTGCCGGCTCGCTCGAACGATTCTTTATCTCGCTCAACCCAACGCGACCACTACGACTACATTCCTCCTTGATTAACAATAAGTAGGCACTGAAAATGAGAGAAACATATAAATATAAATATATAAATGAACGAACGAGGATAAGAGAAGTGGATAAATGATTAATTAAAAGTGGCAAGATACGGATGGATAAATAAATAATTAAAAAACAAATGAATATATATGCACAGAGAGGAGGCACGAGTATATATACATGTATGTATACCTAAACGAATGAGAACAGTGAAACACTCGAATAAATTGAATTAATCAATTATTAAACGAATAACTCCTGGCGAAATGAGATGTGCTGAGAGAGACTTGTATAACGTGTATTCGTAATCGTTTGTTCAATGTGCAATAACGTAACGATAACGGCTTAATTTGTAAAGGAAAAATTCCTATTAGTAACGGGGAACCAGTGCTGCTCCATGTTTTATGGAGGATTTTCATTAATGCAAAACGATCATTCGCAAGAGTCGCGTGGCTGTCGTCTATTCCTTGTAAGATTTCTTTTCGAAGAAATGTAATTAAAAAAAAGAAACTTTTTATTAACAATTTTCCATTGAAAAAATTTTATTTTAGTTCCCAATAGTCAAAGAATTCCTAGGGATATCGATACAAAAGGTGGCCATCTTGTAATGCTAGACTCAGAAAAAGGGTATTTCCCAACGAGATACATGGTTCGATTGGTAACACAGTTCCCTTCATGTTCGATGCGAATACTTCCTTTATTATTCGCTTCACTTTCTCGACTTCTCGTGATCGCAATAAAGAATCGATCCAACATGGCGGTCAGCCACGTGACTCTAAGACTTCAGAGACGCGTATGAAGCGTTAAGAAATTCGTTCCAGTTCTTTGTACACAAGAGTATAGTTTTCCATCGAGACATTGATAAAATGAACGTAATTTCTCAAAATAAGAAGAATCGACGAAGAATCTGAAGCCCCTCGTACGTGTCACACGGGACACGCATACGCTACACGTATAGACACGCGTATAAACGATAAATAAAACGGTGAAAGCATGAATCGTAAATTAATTACTATTGTCGTGAAATTGATCGATGAACACGCAGCGTTGCTCTGATTGTATATAGGACGTGTAATGTTATAGTGACAACCTATTAGCGGGGCGTATTATACACAACACATACACACAGACACACGCATTATTACAAACCGAGACTATTCGCCGTGCGATTTTGATTACTTAACGAACGAATTAACAACTTAACGACACTTTAATGAAACAACAATGTGTAACACGAATTTATTGACGAGCGGCGAAAGGATGATGATGAATGATGATGGATGATGATGATGAGAGGGAACAAGTTGGTCTCGAAGAATATTTCGATCGGAATCAGTTTATTATCACATCAGAATTAAAGCAGAGAAACAAATCAAGACCAACTAGTACGAGAAAATTCTCTCTTTTTTCTCTCTCTTTCTCTCTCTTCTCTCTCTCTCTCTCTTCTCTCTTTCGTTCTCTTTCATTCTCTTCGTGACGTTTCCCGAAATTTTCCGAAACGGGACGAAGAGATCGACGCGTCGTATCGAAAACTAGCATACAGTTAATTGATAAATAAATAGAATCGTATTAACTATTGTATTATTCGATAATATCGAGTTAAGCATTTACGACGAATTAATATCGAGGAGCTGGGGAGAAGTACGTGGGGAAGGACCAGCCCAATTATATATTTACATGTGTATAAACGTTCGGCACAAAAACTGAAGAAGACGAAAACGAAAAAAAATGAACGAGCAATCGTCGAAGATTAGCAAAGACGCTGTTTGTTAAGAGTGTACTAAGTACGTTAGGTGTAACGTTGCATGGCCGGCAGAGGAGAGGAGGAGACGGTAGAATGCCACGTTGCCAGTTTTCGTTCCGATGATCGCACTTTCATACATACGCGCATTATATAGTTTAAGATTTTTCTAGACGTCATTTAAGAAAATCTACTTGGCCTACTAGACGACGAACTATAAGTTCTAAAGCTTGCGAAAAATTAAAAAAAAAAATCAACCTCATTAAACAGTACCAAATATATATTCATATTCGATTGTCTACTTTTTTCAGCGAAAGCTTAGGAAGTCGAGAAAAGAAATACTTCACCTTTTATATCACGCCTTCATACAATGGAGGAAGACGAAAAAGTCTATTTGGCCTAATTCTTTGAATTTCTATTTTGTAGAATTAATATTTAAAAAAAAAGTAATGCACCCGTATTATAATATAATATTCTTAGTATCTTAAGGTGACCGTAAAATATCAAACGTCATTTTATGTGATCATGAAGATCCACGAGGCATTGACAGCCAATCTGGCAACGTTGCATTCGTCTGCCATCATCCGCGCGTTGTTCTTCGTTCGATTAGACAAAATAGCCAAGACAGGTCTCGTAATCAGGTAGATAGGATAGGTAGGTCGGTAGATAGGTAGATACCTGAAAGCAGGGCGGCGATAGGCAGAGCCAAAAATGTCGCGTACCATAGTCGGATCTAATCTTGTATAGTGTTCACTGGTTGCTCTTCGTACAGTTTTTTGGATAGTCTCGAAAACTTGAAAAACAAAAGAAAAAATGCAAAAATGACAAAGCGGAATGATGAAGCGAAAACTCTGGACCTACCTTCAGTGGAAACGAAGATCAAGAAGAAGAAAAAGAAATACTCCAAATGGACTATATTAAACGAAGAAGAAAAAAAAATCGTAGTTAAGGAACAGCGAGAGAAATCAGCCGGAGGACTTCTTTTATAGTGTTACCTAATTATTAATAACAGTTTACCACGTTACTCCTGACTACCGCCTAGTTAACGCCTAATTACTTATTACCGAAGTAACTAACTACACAACGACTAACTAGTAAGCGCTTTTAAATTAAACAAAGAATGAAAAAAAAAATGAAACGAGATTAACGAGGATCTAACTACCTAAATGCCAGCCTAGTCCCAGTTTAATCTGTGCTAAACGTAGACGTTACTACCGTTACTATCTACTGGCACTAATTGTTACCGTCATCATCACCGTTTCGTTCGATTTCATCGCTACTCGCGATCGATGGCGTTGGCGTCGCTCTCCATTGCCTAACCACTATAAAAACACCATAATAAAAAATTGAAAATAAAAATTGTCTCTCCAAAGCTGCCTAAGTCGAGAAGGAATTTTTTCAAAATTATTCCAAACGTTCTCGCGATAATTAAGCTCCCTTTTGCATTTCTATGACCGACCAGACATCCACAATTGTCATAGTTCGTAGCAAAAAGGGCGATCGCAGCGCCATTGATCCCGTGTCGCGCGTGCACATGCGCGAATCGACAGACGAAAATCAAGCGAAGTGCCGCTAGTGTTTACTGTCTTTTACACATTACACGTACACACACACGTATACAAACATAATACATACATGCTAGAGGCTGGCGCAATCGTCACTGCCGGGACTATCATCGCCATCTTCGTTCATTCGATCATCCGATCAGGGTATAGGCGGCCGACACGAGTCGAGTGGACGTCGAGTGTTTCTAATTGTTAATCACACGTGTTGTAACTAACCGAAAAATGTTGTAACTCGCGTAACGTATTTATGATAAAACCTGTTGTTGTCGTCGATGCCTACACGCGATACAGCGAAGTGAAACGATCGTTGTTTTTTTTCGTGCACATCGAGAAAGATTGCGATATACAGAATTGGGAAACGTCGTGACCGAAAGGGGGAATGAACCGAGTGTTTGCATATGCGCCGCATTTCGCGTTGTAGGTGTATTACGCCAACTGGTGATGTGACGTCGGTGAAATTCAGTTGGATGTGGAACCTCGCTCTTCCAGTGTGTACTGATCACCCTTCGACTGCCGTAACCTTCAAAGCTCACTGTAATTTCGTCGGGATCGACTTTAGGCAAACGTACTGGAATACGTTTGGTTAAAAAAGTGGTGTTAACCTACGTTGCTTTTTCGAACGTTTCTTGGCTAAACGGAATTGTGAATGTGAACGCCATTACGGCTGGATTTTGTATACTCGTTTCTGGAATAATTGTGAGGGGATTTAGTACGAGTGAGATTCGTCTGGAATGAGTTCAATCGACTTAGATTTTGGTTTATTAACGAGTATACAGGATCTAACGGTGTCATTGGTGTTATATATATTATACTTTCAGGTATTTCGGATGTTTTAACGATTTTACGATGTTATGTCACTGATGTCATGTTACAACCACCATGTTCCACCTGTCTTGCCCCCCCCCCCCAAACTTCCCATTCTTCCTTCAGTCGCCAGTACCGAGTCTCCTCGTGTAAACAAAATGTTCTCTAACCGAACTGAATTCGTTTCTACCCATTGCTCACGATTAAATCCACGTGATCATGAGACTGCTGGGCCACTATGAAACCGATCGCGTGTCCAAGATGACTGACTGACTGAAAACATTATTCTTGTTGGCCTTCCATAATATATAGACCATAGTTCCTAGCTCAAACTCGATCCCAGACTAAAAACCTAAAACTAGCCTAAGTTTCATCGAGACTTGAAACAACTGAATACGATAACGAAGACTTGACTCAGGCCTAACTTAATCCTATTACGATATACATATTGTACGTAGACGTAGCCTAATCGAAACTTCGTTCACCCTGTAGTGTCGACGTGAATATTCGCTGTAGCTCGGTGACGTCACCTAACCTCGACATGCTTAGTTCAATGCTAGTCTCTGATCTGATCGTACACCCGGTATATAGCGCTGCTCTGAAGGTTAATCGTTAATAAATTAAGCCTGTTGCAAACGGTGAAGTGAACAAAAAAAAAAAAAAAAAAAAAAAAAAAAAAGAAAGAGAAGAAGAAAATAATAATCGACGAAGGGTTAACGGGGGCAAAGGATTCTTGGACCCGATCGTTTCCTATTGGCCGTTCGTGAAATCGCTTGTAAACCGCAAGCAACGATTATCTCGAGCGTGTTTTACCGTCGGTCGTGGACTGAGGCTTGGTGCAGTTGAGGAAGTGTAACCGGAACATTATGTGTAAATCGACGGATTCGCGGGATTCGGAATGCTATTATTATGGTTAAAAAAAATAACGTGTTTCGAGCGTCGCCCGGACGAATAAATATATATGTATACATATATATGTATACATACGGCTTTATTTAGTTTTCTTTTTCTAATAACTCGCTCAAGTCTCATTTTATCCCTTCGATGTCATTATCGAGTCATTCGGTTTCCCTCTAGTCGAAGAGTTATTAACAAACGCAACCTGTATCATTTGAGAAAATGAAAAAAAATTAATTCCACGGCGACGTCCATCACGTTCCCATGCTTGTTGTGCGACGAATGTTTCTATGTACTTACGTGTACAACCGTAACTTGATAGCCTACGAATAGAAGACAGATCCGGGCTCGTAACATTAGACTGGTGGGGGAGATAACCTAACCTCGAAACCATATTATTTCATCACCACAATAAATTCAATCTCGGTTATGTAAATGTTAATTCTGTTTTTAGGAAGAAAGAACTTTTTTGTTTTCATTTTTTCTTGTATTATATTTTCTCTTTCGTTGATTACATCGAACGTGACAGTGTTTCTCGCCATAATCCCCCGACCATCGTATACCTGGATCTGTCCTCGTCTACGAATTATATTGTACGGTACACAGCCGTGTTAAGAGCGTAAGGGAGTTGATTTTCTAGTCAGGTACGATTATAAATAATTATTTACGTTGGCAACCGGTCATTTTTACATCGCTGTGAATATGTAAGATGTTTCTCCTCTCTCTTTCTCTCTCTCTCTCTCTCTCACACACTCTCTCTTCCTCTCTCTCTCTCTATATTTCTGACTTTATCCTTTCATTTTTCTCTCTCTTTCTTTTCGTTTCATTTTTCTTCGGTCAATCGAGGAACGAGCGAACTATGTATAATCATAAATTACGCGTCGATAGACGACAGAGACGACGAATTATAAGATACGATTTCGATTTAATATATTAATTGCGAATTACCATTATTATTATTATTATTATTATTATTGTAATTCTTACGATTATTATTATGATTATGGTTATTAATTGATTGCTACCATCGTCGATTATTAGTTAACTACCACTACCAGTCATATAATACCTTTGTAAATGAGAATCAAGACACTGACGGCTAGGGAAAAAAACTTAATAAATTGAAATTCTATTAACCCAAACGCATTCCATTGTTATTTCCCCCTTTTTCGTCGAGCGCGGTGCGTTTGAATTTCCCGCGCTTTCTACGGCGATGGATAACGAAGGTGAAAGAATGAATCGATAATTATTTCACGTTCGTGATTATTATCGTAATATAGTGATGTCGCATGTTGATAATTTATCGTAATTGCGAGATTATCTTCAGTTTGGAATTTGCGAGAAATTCATTTTTAGTTATTTTTGTTTGCAAGACGCTAATCTATGAATGCGTGAACGAATTTACTCTATTGTTCGGTCTCGTATCGGTTCGGGTTTACCGTTCACGGCGTCGTTTATTGTTCGGTGTGCTGAAAGACTGGGATTCCTGAATTCTATGAGGTCACGACACTGGTTCTTTTGTGTAACGCTGCGTGATCCATGTGTCGACTTTAGAATACCGCTTACTAGTGAAAATTTGAAGAGTTACTATTTATTAGCGTGCTCAGAGTAGGCAAGAAAGGGAAGAATAAAATATATTGTAACTTCCAATGAGGAATTTGAAAGTTTCTTGAGAAGATTATTCTTGAACAATGATTATTCCGAATTTGTAATGGTAAATTTGCAATCAAAACTTGTAATACATGACAAGTTTGAATCGTTTCAAGGGTAAGCTAGCCTTTGCTCATAATACATACATTTCGTATCAGTTTTAAATAATCAACTACACTTAGGCATATGTAATATGTATTAAATATGCAAACTGTGCATTTTGTATAATGTATTACATGTAGATAACAGCGATTTATCATAAGAATTGACGAATGTGTTAATGTATCTTTGGAGAATTTCCAAAGGACTATCAAACTATCTTTCAATTTCTCAAAAAAAAAAAAAAAATCCAAAGAAATTCCAATTCCAAAGGAATAAA